TGCTATTAGGTTGGAGGCCATTGGTAGTGGGTTGGAGGCCATTGGTAATAGGTGGGAGGCCATTGCTATTAGGTTGGAGCCCATTGGTAGTAGGTGGGAGGGCCATTGCTATTAGGTTGGAGGCCATCGCTCGTCTCCCTAAAGATCTAGGAACCAAATGATTAGTGCGAACGCTTCTGCAAAGAAGCTCCCCCCCGCCCTCAGGTGGGGGAGCTTTGTTGCGTCCGGTCGGTAGTAGCTTGCTTGCAACTACTAGCTACCTCAATTCCTTAATTAAATAATCAGGAGTTGGTAGCGGGCCTCATGGAGCGGTAGAAGTTGTTGACGATCTGGGCATTTTGCATGTTCAGGAACTCTTCAACGTTGGTCTCTTTCGTCAGATACTGACGCATCGCTTCTCAAGATGCAAGCTGGAAGCTGAAGGGGCCTAATCCAAACAACTGGAAGACAACGTAGTTCTCTTCGCCGGAAATCCAAACAACTGCCAGCTAAATTCCTTCACCCTCTTACTGAAAGCACGTGGATACCCCGTGTATGCATTCGTGATTTTGACGCAGCAGATTGTATTGTTTCCGTACAAGCACGAACACAACATGAAAAATGAAAGTGTCTGCAGGAGTTAGCTACATACGAATGGGTTCAACCATGAAACAAAAGATAGCTAAACTCATTCAAAGAGATAAAGACATCCCCTCTCCTTGCACCACCAAACCAAGAACTCGGAGAAGACCTTGAGAGCAAGGAGCGACAATCACCATGAAACATGATTGAACTGGCAATTCTTCATGACTCGTTGTCCTATAGGACCATACTCCAGGAGAAGCACTGAACCTCTCTGAGCTTCAGTCGATCTTATCGTCGTGGTTCGAGTCAGCCTGTGGAAAAGCAAGCAAACTGAAGTGGACTTCGATGCCGACTGAAACGACTGAAACGCATCTTCTTTTCTGTTTTAAAGGGTACCCTTTTGGCGGGAAAGAGGGCAGGCCGTGACAAGAGGTGTGAAAGGAAAGCAGGTGAGCTCTAAATCTTAAGGAAAGCTTGAGGCACACACAGCAGAAAGGGGGCAAAGAAAACAGCTAAACGTGATAAGCCCTTCGTAAGCCCTTCTGCCCCTGTAAGACGAAAAGATCCAATTGAGGACTTCCTCTCGATATGAATTTGGTGCACCTCTCTCCGAAGTGGCTCGGGAAAATCATGACACCCACGGTGTGGTGTCATTTTTGGACAAAGAGAAATATGAGGTCCATTGCTGCTAGGTGCAAGGCCACCGCTACTAGGGGCTCCTGGCATCGCTACTAGGAGCAAAGACGCTATTAGTAGCTATGTCCAATGAGTGTCACGAGTCACATGGTGATGTCATGGCGAGGTTGCACAGCGACGATGTGAACCCATCCACCCATCTCTTCACTGCACTTGGGCTCAACAGTTTAACCGAGACATGGGACCCGCAACCACTTCCAGAGAAAGCCTTTATCTGTTGTTTTGCCGCTTTTGATCTCGAAACATGGCGAATCGAAAGAACCGGGCAAAGGCAGATTTAGCAAATCTTCGAACAACGTAAGACGCAGATTTGCCTCGGACCAAAAGTACCGGATTCGGCTCTCTGGCAGCTCAAAGCCGCATGGCAGCTGCAGCATCCGGGGAAGAACCACCGAAAACCTCGGAAAAGCAGCCGGCAAAGGGTAGGGCCGGGTAGGACCCTCTTCTGCAGGTTCTGCTTGTGGTCCATGGCTTTGAGCCCTAAATCTAAATGTTAAGTTACAAGTTCTACTGTTAAGTTTCCCTAAACATCTAGAAACCAAATGAACAGTGAGACTATTCCTGCGTCCAGTAGGTAGTAGCTTACTTGTAGGTCTGGCTACCGCTACCTCCAGCTAGCTACTCACCTCTACTAGCGCCCTAACCCCCCGGGCTTAGAATAAAGGTCTTCTTTAAACAAATTCTCAGCCTTCCGAGAGAAACACAGCATTTAGGACGCTCTTTGGCTGAGGGGAAAGAACCTGGGTTGAAATGCCGTGCAAAACACACAAGAAAGACATCCCACACACACACACACACGGCACAGTTCAGCTGCGGCGCTCTTCAAATTGGATATTTCCTGGTGATTGTGCTGCTGCAAGCAAGTATCTTAGATTACGGAGAGACAAAGCATCCAAGACAAGGTGGCCCCAGTAACCAAGTTTGGGTCCAAAGCAAATCCAATCCAACATATGTAAAAAAAACAATTTGATTTATACCCTCGCTGGGCTGGCCTGTGAGAAAAGGAATTTTCTAGCTCCTTGAGACCTAGCACTTTCATTTCAACAACCACACAAGCAAATTCAAAAGTGAATTCTATTTTTCAATTCAACGTGGAACAAGCTATTTTTACTAGTAGTAACAGGTGCCTTACTAGTAGTAACAAGGACGCTAGTAGGAACAAGTGCATCGCTACTAGTAACAAGTGCCTTACTAGTAGTAACAAGAAGCTAGTAGGTCACGACAAAGTTCGTGCGGTAGCAACTTCTCGATTTGTGCGGTCGGCTCGATCGACCTAAAACACAGCCATGCCCATCGCGCGCGCTTTTCTGAGGGCGAAACAAAGCGTAAGGCTCAGTGGCCAACTTGGGAGTAAGGGGCCACAGAACGGAGAAGCTGGTGCGAGGGGGTCCGTCACATGTCATGAAGCTCGTGAATTTCACTGGTCTTTGTTTTCGAAGCACCAGCCTCCCGCAACTGCGACCATGGGCTTTGAAGCCAAGCTTGTAGGTTGTCTCTCAACCGCTTGTCTTCTTTCGTCAAGCCGTCGGCATGCATCTTTTCAGTCGGCACCCAATGCATGTCAGCGGGTGCTATCGACTGCTGTACGCTCCTGATTTGGAGCAGGCTTCTTCGGTCGCTGACCGAAGGGTTCTCACTGACCACACAGTCGTAAAGACTTTTGCAGTCGGAAATCTGCTTCTGTGGCATTCTGCAGCCCAATTTATGAGCTGGCTGCAGATACAAAAGCTCGCTCAAGCAAGCATTCACATGGCATCCTCTATCGGTGCCTTCATCAGCTGCCACGGCTTCTGAAGCCAGAGTGGATCTACACACCCTAGGGCTGCGACCCGACTTCCAGTCGGTCAAAACACAAGGGGTCACGGTCTCAGTGACCTCAGGAGGGCACAGCGTCACCAAGACGCCATATTGGCTGCTGAAGTTGAGGGCATTTGCCCATGAGGAGTCTGCGTACACCAGCACTATGGTGTTCTTGTTCAGGTGGATGCCAGGCAGCACTATGCCGGAGTCCATGGTGGCCATAGTGAACTGCAAAGCTTCACCTAAGTTCTTGAGATCTCTGAAACATGTTTCGCCTCCCTTGTTCGAGAGGCTTGTCACAGCAGCAAGCTCCGGGCGGCTTTGCGAAGCAACCCATTGCAAACATCCAGCCATCGACCGGAATTCTTTCCAGCCTTCAACCGTGAGCTTCTGGTCCATCTTGCCAGGAACAGGTCGAGGTGGC